TTCTTATTTGTTTGTTTGTTTGTTCAAAGAACAAAGAACCATGTGGAAGGTCAGTGTCCATGCAGCATAAGAAGGTATTTTCGGACAGTGATGGCCTGTGGCCAGTGGGAGCGTGAGGTTTCTGCCTACAGAGATAGGATTTGGTTAGCTGTCCTGCATTGCCTGCTTTCCTTTTGTACTCTAAACCCCCGACTGGACCGACGTGAAGCCATCATCCAGTTCTCAGCACGCAGGAGTGTGTGGCTGGAATCAGCTGTAACAGAGGTCCATGTGTTCTCACCCAGGGGGTGGTCCCTGCTCTAGTTTCAACACGCTCTGTTCCCATCAGGAGGCCCAAGTGGTTTCATCAGTTGCCCATCAGTTTCAGCCAAAAAAAGTAACAGCATTATGTAAAAGGGAAAAAATAACTTGGATATTACTTTTATAGAAATGAATTGGAAAAAGGAAAAGCACCCATTTGCGCTCAGCTTCAATCCAGCCATTGCAATAATTACTTTAAATACATTCACTTAAATGTTTGAAATGCCTCTAAAGAAACAGGTGATATTTTAATGTCTTAGATGAAGGACTTGAAAATCATAAGAAAAATAAATTAAAGCACAAATATAGGGTTGCTTCTAAAGTAGAATAAAAAATAGACCTTAAAAAAAAATCAAGCTCTAAAAGAACATGAGGGTCTACACTGTGTTTTCCCTCCCAGGGCCAACACAGGAGTGGCTTCACATAATGACTAGGTAACACTTGAACAATGATGAAATTAATCATTAAATACACAACTCCCTCTTCATTAAGAGCACCGAGTGGAGTCACACAGCAATCCAAATCTATCCAACCCTTAATAAGAGGTATAATTTGCTGGTGTAAAGACAAGGCTACATTTGCTTTGCTTTCCATGTTTTTGTTTGTTTGTTTTTTGACATCTTTAGGAAGGAAGTCATCTAAATACCAAAAGTGACACAATCCCAGTGAGAAAGCTTTCTTTTATTTTTTCAAAAGTGTATGTCTGTGGTATGGCAGGGAAAGTGAAATACCCAGAAAACTTGTGTTAGTAGCTGTTTTCAATGGCTTAGGGGATCATAGCTGCATGTAGCACACTGTGTCTCTGAAATCTACCTTAGGGTCTAGTGTTCTAAAGGCCTTGTTGCCTCGAGTTTGACTTGCATATACATGAAAGGATTTTTAATTGATGCTATTATAAAAATAATAGCATTTTGCTAAGGGCACAATATTACACTTAACAGTAAAGAAGAACCAGGAAAGGAAATCAGAGATTTGAATGGAAAAGTCAAGATTTCATTTATAATGCAATATAAAAGAATATCCCTTGAAGGCACACCACTGTCTGTAAGGTCACCAGAACAGGTGGCAGCCAGTGCTCCAGCAGATATAGCTGCCCCTGCTCTAAAGTATCAACCTACTCTATCAAGATCTGGGGAACAGAAAACTAAGGACTAAGGAAAGAAACATGGCAAGATAGTAAGTTAAATAAACCAGGCTGTGTAAAAGAGTGTAAGAGGAGACAGAAGAGCTGGCTTATTGAGTAAAAGAGCATGTTGTCCAGCATATGGACACCAAGTCAAATACCCAGTACGTACATAAATAATAATAATAATAACCCTGACACTGGGTGTGTGGAGATTTACACTTTTAATCCCAGACTTAGGCAGATCTTGGTGAGTACTAGGCCAGCCTGGTCTACAATAGGGTTATACAGTAAACCCTATTTCAAAGAAAGAAATAATAAATAGAATTATAAAATGGCTTTGAATACCTTTAAACCCAATATTGGGGGGCAGAGGCAAGCAGATCCTTGGACCTCCTTAATCAGCTAGCTAGACAAAATGCATTCTAAGCTATAGGGACAGGGACAAGTTTACAATGAGATAACTTGTCTCAAAGGAATAAAGCAGAGAACAACAGAACATAAAGTAGGATACCTACTATTTTCCTCTGACCTCCATGGGCATGCAAACACACACACACGCACACACACACACACACACACACACACACACACAGATAGTTATTGGATAGAATCAGTAATTATGTATCTTATATTTGGGGCAGCAGACAATGTATTTGAAAAGTGTGTAAAAGTTTATAGATGGGCTGGAGAAATGGCTCAGCGGTTAAGAGCACCAGCTGCTCTTCCAGAAGTCCTGAGTTAATTCCCAGAAACCACATGGTGGCCCACAACCATTTATAATAGGATCTGATGCTCTGTTCTGTCATGTACGTGTACATGGAGATAAAGCTTTCATATACATAAATAAATAAATATATTTTTTTAAAAATATAGAAAAAGTGCTCCATGGAGGTATGCATTCATACAGGTTCCTGTTTCATGTTGCTTGCCTTCTTATGGATGAGACTATAGCTATACTAGTAGTTGGCAAACTAGTAGTAGGTAGGTACTCAAGGTTCTTTAGCTCATCTTAGATTCAGTAAAGAAGAGAGGACCCCAAGACTATCTAGAACACAGCTGTTGACAAGATGCTGCTCACTTCCTATTATCTTGGCCATTTAATAAAGCAGCAAACCTTGGGTAAATTAAAAGGAGGAAGAGCTGGAAGATAGGCACAGTGGTTAAGAAGATGTGGTGCTCCTGTGGAGGACCCAGGTTCAGTACACAGCACCCACATAGGGCAACTCACAATGGCCTGTAGCTTCAGTTCCAGGGGCAGCTGATATTGCTTGTGTCCTCAGGCACATTCTGTATTCACAATTAGAAACACATAATGCACTTTTTTTTGAATTAAACATGGAGAATGGGAAGATTAAAGGGTCATCTCCCCTTTTCCAGTACCCCATCTCTTTCACTCATTTTCCCATAACCCTGTTCTGAAGTCCATTGTACAAAGAGAAATGAAAAGAGCAAAGAGTAGTTGCTAAGGGGTGTTGAATAGGACCTGCAAGCAATGCTGGAGTAATTGGAGCATTTTGCTCAGAAGAAAGACAAAGTGACAATTTCAAGTGCAATTAAAGTCCTCACAGTGGATTTCCTGGGTACTTAAGGTAAAGGGTCTGTCTAAAGAGGATGATATCTGATACTCAACAGAAGAGGGATTTAGCCAAAGGAAAATCAGCAAGCGCCACAATTAGTCAGCACCTATGCAGTTCTCATTACCATTAGCATAAGCCATAAATACTGAAGAAGATGACTACCTTCAAAACAATGAAAACATTCAAAATCTTATAAATACACAAAAATCAGTTTGTTACTGGAATAAGCCATAATAATAATGATGATTATGATATCCTGAATGTTTTAATTAGCATAGAGAAAGGAGTGAGAAAATTCATAAAAATAATGGCAGGACCTTGACCTTGTGGCCAAGGATCATGGGCTGATTGTAGAATCAGGAGAAATGACAGAGATTAAGGTGTTAAAATCAAATAAGTGGTACCAGAGACAGAAGAGCTACATATGACAGGCCGTTCTGGGGCTGAGAGTCCTGTGGGAGGTGATCTGCTGAGCCAGGCAATCCCAGCATCACCCGCAGCTGCAGCCGAGAATGCAGTGTGGTATACTTGCCCTTTACCAGCAACTACTTCTATGTGCTGCCAGTAGTAACAGTAGTTTAAGTGATACCCAGAGATACAGCCTATGCACCCCGAAATAGTCCATATTTTAAAATGATTAGACTGACTTTGAAATTGTATATATATTTTACAAGAATACAATTATTGTGACAAGATCTTTTGGGGTTCTAGGTAAGCTTCTTTAAGGTCATGAGGTGATCACATCTCCTGCAGTCATTCTGCTAAACCACAAGGAACCAAATCAACACTAATGGGCATACGTCTACTACCATGAATATTTGGTGGAAACAAACTGGGATTCACTCATTGTTAGGGCCCACAGTATTCATTTAGCAGCACAGGGGTAAGCAAAAGTGTCCTTCTCACCAGATGAGATGCAAACCCTTCCGAAAGAAGGAGAAATTAGTAGGCACCTGTGACCAAAAAGCATCCTAAACTTTCACACCTTTCTTCTTTTAAAGTTGTCAAGGACTGTACCTGCTGTTCGTTTTACTATCACCACACAACTTCCAAAATTTGGAAATATATAACTTAAGATAATTTTCCAGTAGATGGATCGTGGAAAGGTTTTTCAGTACAAAGGTCAACTGATTTTTTGCAATTCACAGTAAAGTTTTAACTTTCCACTTTTAGTACAAGCAGCCATAGGAAAAACCCATTCTAAAAGCTCTATACAAAAATGACCCCAGAAGCTACTAGACTAGAAAGTCAACAGTAAATACTCATGTGTGCTGCCTCCCTCCCCACCACTTTCTCTAAAGTATCTACTCTCCTTTTCTCTTTCTTTCTCTTTTCCCTCCCTCCCTCCCTCCCTCCCTCCCTCCCTCCCTCCCTCCTTCCTTCCTTCCTTCCTTTCTTTCATTCTTTCTTTGCTTTTTGCATTTGTTTTTCAGAGACAGGATTTCTCTGTGTAGCCCTGGCTGTCCTGAAATTTACTCCGTAGACCAGGGTGGTCTATGGAGTAAAATTCACAGAGATCTTCCTGCCACTACTGGGATTAAAGGCATGTGCCACCACAACCTAGTGAAAATACAGATTTTTTGTGGTTTGCTTTTATTTTAGTTTATTATTTGAGAGTGAGAAAATTTATACTACTAAAAGTCTAAGGCCCATTGGATATTTTGTTTGTTGTTGTTCGGGTTTTTTTTTGTTTTGTTTTGTTTTGTTTTTTTTTTAATTTTGTGAGACAGAATCTCCTATAGTCCAGTCTGGACTTCATTTCATGCAGCCCAGGAAGTCTTTGAAATCTTCATCCTTCTGCTTCTAGCTCCCAAATTATCAGCATATACCTTTCCCAACCCCCATTTCCAACTAAAAACTCATTGGATAAAGTACCACTTTATAATAAGGTGGCCTAATGTAGCCCTCAACATATAAATGGACCTCTCTTTATAGAATGTAGCATGCAACAAAGACTTACAATAAAGGCAAGGAAGTAAGAAAAAAAATTGACTAACCTAACCCACCTGAGCTCGGCTCACAGGGGTCAATGTCCTCATCATCGCTGGGACACTCTGCTGAGGCCACAAGGATGTCATCCGTGGTCTGCAAAGGAATCACAGTCAGTCGATTAATTAAAGATTTCCTAACAGCTCGTTCCATTTCATTTATGTCTGAAACACAGTTTGTATTTGTATTATAGGTTAAGAAACCAAATTTATTACATTCCTTCCCCTAGGCACAATACATAAAGCTTAGATTCACAAGCATATTTTAGATCTCGCATAGAAATAACTCCCTGTATGTATGATCTTGATTACAACTTATTTTACATGTGGACACAAAACTGGGTATCTATAGTTGGTAGACACTCAATGAACCAGCTATAATGAGAGGCTGCATACAGGAGCATGCAGATATTTAAAACAACCTGGCATAAATGGTTGAATTGAGATTGATTACAGCCCTAAAGAGCTACAACGTATGCACCAGTGGGCTTTATGCAGCACTTGTGGTTGGCTTTCTGAAGCAAAACAGCCATAAATTTTTACATATGTGAACAGGTAGTTCTTTAAAGCTTCGAGATGGAACGTGTCATCATTGAGAAACACAGATAAAGTAGAGAATTAAATATATAATTTTTAGAGGCAATAATGAATCATATATAGTTAAAATATTTTTCAGTCTTTAAAATTTTATATTTATATGTCATTTTCAAAATATGCAGATAGTAGAAGCTGTTTCCTCGTTGTCCTTTCCACCATCAAGATTTAATAGTAAGTAAAAAGTGTATGCAGAGTAGGCTGGGAAAGGTGACCATTTCCTCAGTGACATTATAATTGCTTCACTGCACTTACAACCAAAGGTAACTGTTGCTGTAGTAAAACTCAGAGTGCAAATCCTAGCAGTCAGTCACCAACCAACACACCTAACCGACACACTGACAAATATCAAGTTACCTAACCAACACACTGACAAATATCAAGGCTGTTTTTTTTCCCAGTGGCTCACGTGCAGTAACAAACCCAGAAGAATTAGTGCATGGATCTGTGAAGGCTTACATCAGATTGGGATAATGCTAAAGTAAAACAGACCAAGTCTGCCGGAAGGAGATCTCATCACATTTGCAGAGATTCCTGGAGATCTGGATTGCTCATGGGATGCTTGAGAACAAAATGATGAGGCCATTTAACAGGAGCTGGAATAACGTGGCCTGACATAAAGATTAGAGAGTCACAATATCACCAGGGATAAAGATTTAAAGAGTCTTTAAATTTTAAGAAAGCTGGAGACAAGGAAGAAGGCACTTTAATGGCAAATAAAGTTTTAAAAATCTTCATGGCCCGAGCCTTTAGTCCTAAAGCATAATTTATTCCCAATATCCCTTAAAATCAATACAAGCCTTTACACAGCATGTGGATATAGCTTCATTGGGTTTGGCTCTTAATTTTTCTAAAAGAGTTTCTGGATACATGTATGCTCCTGCTGTCATTTTCAAGAAGAAAGTTCAAAATACCAGATTTCCTGGAACCATAATTGTTCAAAGAGAAAGCCATTAGCCCATGTCCTGAACAGCCCTTCATCTCTCATTAGAATGAGTTTCATCAAAGACCCATCTGGCTTTTGGCACAAGTTGTTTTTGAGCCTATCACCCACTTTGGGTAATATGGTATCATGAGTTGAATGAGATGTCCTTCGGGAAAATTAATCCATTCTAATCCAGAGCAGATACTGGGCTTTTCCTGAGGCCAACATCTATCAGGAAGCCCTTGTCCTCACCCAGGGACTCTTTCAATGTAATCAGAATCAAGTTAATAATTACATTTATAAGAGAAGTTTTCATTTTTTTTTCCTTGGGAACTTTTACATGTATTGATGCAATCAATAACTGTCACGGTTTTAATAGTCTTCATAAGGGGAGTTCAGGATGAACACATTCTGTAAGCCAACGGCTCTCACCCTAATAGTGCTATTACTTCTCCCTCCCCTCCTGTACCTGGAGGGGCATTTGGTGGTGTTTGGAGGTCTATGTTACTGCTGGGCTATTGGGGCAGGCAGGTATTACTGTGCGTATCTAGTAACTGGAGGCTTAGAATGCTATGAAATGGGCTAAAACAAATTTAATGACTCATACAACAAGAATTATCAAAGGGGCTAAAATTAAGGAGCCCTGCCATTGAAATGTAATCATTGACTATGCTTTATTTTTCCTATCTTTAAATATGATGACTATAATAGACATTGTTTTTAAGGAATAAATCAACATATGAAAAGTATTTAGAATATGATAGCATTGTAATTGTTGATGAAGATTTCCAAATTTATCAACAGTAATATTTCATGGACGTGGAGTTGTTTTCATTAAATAATTTTGAGCTATATTTATAAATAGTAAAGTTTTATATATTGTTAATTTATTTATTGTTGTATTAATTATACTTTATTCAATTTGTATCCCAGTGGTAGCCCTCTTCCTCAGCCCCTCCCAAGCCCATTCTCCCCCTTCTTCTCCCATGCCCCTCCCCAGTCCACTGAGAGGGGAGGTCATCCTCCCCTTCCATCTGAACCAATCAGTTCTCTTCACGACTGGCTGCATTGTCTTCCTTTGTGGCCTGGCAAGGCTGCACCCCCTCAGAGGGAGGTGATCAAAGAGCCAGCCACTGAGTTCATGTCAGAGATAGCCCTTGTTCCCATTATTAAGGAACCCATTTGGACACTGAGCTGCCATGGGCTACATCTATGCAGGGGTTCTAGGTTATTTCCATGCATGGTCCTTGGTTGGAGTATCAGTCTCAGAAAAGATCCCTGGGCCCAGATTTTTTTTTCTCTCCTTGTGGATCTCCTCTCCCCTCGAGATCTTTCTATCTCTCCCTTCTTCCATAAGGAGTCCAGCACTCTGTCCAAAGTTTGTTTATGAGTCTCAGCATCTGCTATGATACCCTGCAGGGTAGAGTCTTTCAGAGTCCCTCTGTGGTAGGCTCCTGTCCTATTCCCTGTTTTCTCCCTCTTCTGTTGTCCACCCCATTTGCCTTTCTGAATGAATATTGGGCATCTTACCCATGGTCCTCCTTCTTGATTAGCACCTTCAGGTGTACACATTTTAGTATGATTATCCTATATTATATGTCTAACATACACTTATCAATGAGTATACACCGTGTGTGTCTTTCTGCTTCTGGGATAGCTCACTCAGGATGATCTTTTCTAGACCCCACCATTTGCCTGTAAATTTCATGATTTCCTTGTTTTTAATAGCTGAGTAGTATTCCATTGGGTAAATGTACCACAATTTCTGTATCCATTCCTCAACTGAGGGACATCTGGCTATATATCTGGGGATATATCTAAAAGATGTTCAAGTATACAACAAGGACATTTGCTCAACCATGTTTGTAGCAGCATTATTTTTAATTAGCAGAAGCTGGAGAGTTTTATATTTTTTACTAAAAGTTGCACAAACTATTTTTCAACTGGAAGCTTCATGTTAGCAATTGTATTAAAATTTGAGAGTTATATTGGGTAGTTTTATACTTCCATCTTTTATAGTCTCAAGTTGTGACTAAGGCAAACATCAACTATAACTGAGGAGCATTGTTTGTTATAATGAATTCATTGCTACATATGTACAAGTAATCAGAAACTGTTTTATGTAGGCTAGTTTCTTAGGTTATGCAAGCTAATCCATTCAAAGCTATTTTCTTTAGGGATAATGCCCTTTTAAGTAGAAAAATGTTGTATCTTTTCATAAAACACTATATTCAAAATACAAAAGTTGTATAATAATATCTTGAACAGCACTCTCAAAGTAAAATAAATCACAGACAAATGTAGCTCGTCTATAAACAGACACTTAGGATTTAATGTAATTTCCTGCTATAATGCATGCATATTCTTGATTATTATACTTTTCAGCCCAAACTAAACACTAGAAATACTTCTGTGAACGAAAGTCTCAAATTAATAGATAGCTTGGTTGAAATCTCCATGGTATGAAAAAATCAAGAAGCATCTCAAGAAAGGGAAAAAATAAAAAAGCATCTCGTGGAGGAAAAGAAAAATCAAATTTCATTCAGGAGGTGGATTGAACCAAAGAATTCTCTAGCCAAAGCTGTGTAATTGAAATTTAATTCACTGAGCTTGGAGCTGCCTCTCTATGACTTACTGTTGAGAGCGTTCTATTAAAAACCTCAAATATGCCACATGAATCAATTCTAGTCTTTGCTAGACTTTTGCTTGATGTTTATAACCTTTTCTTAGAAAGATAACCTGTTGTAAGAGACAGAATAGCTATCAAGCGCAAGCCTTAACTTTACACGGCAACCCATTTAGATAAGTGTCTCTAACTGTCATTTAACCACTCACATGTCAAAGAACCATGCTGAGATTCCCTAATAGAGCTATGCCTGTGCCTGCGTATAGCAAGCATCTATTCTTATTTCACATGTCTAAAAAAATGAAGTCTCTATACCTTTAGACTGAACAACATGGGAAAAATGAAAGAAATAAAGGAAATATCATGTTCTGCATATGAACACTAACACATAATAGGACTTTGGTAAAGAGTAATCAGGAGCCATTATTGAAATTTACTCAAAAGTTAAGGATTTCAGGGGAGACTACTTGTTAGTCTACAAACTATAACAACACCCCCTTTTCCACAGAGTTCTCCTCCACAATTACTTGCAATACATACACTACTTGCCATTAAAAAACTAATAAAGTACAGCTTAAGTGTCTTTGTGGTTAATAAATATATATGGTGAAGGAGTAACTAAATTTTATGTCCCTTCTAAGAACAACAGCATTTCTGGATGTCATTTTCATGATACATGGCTGTGCTGAACATTAGTTCCTATCTGCAAAGACACAAACAAGAAACACCAAGCTGAACAACAAACATGCTTTGTATGGAAAAGGGTAAATTCCAACTATTCAATTATGGTCTTTCATTGATTCTAAACTTTAATGTAAATGTTCTTTTTAAACTGCAGTAATTTATTCTCTTATATATCACAATATTCTCTTTATGTCACAATATTAGTAATATATAATATATGTATTATATATGTATAATGTATAATATATGTATTATATGGGTTATGTAT